TGCAAAGTGAGCCGTAGTTAAAAATGAACCATACTCGCTATCTTAACCTCACATGATGTTTGGTATCGTAAATCATCCCTCACTGTAATTTCGTAACGGACAAACTCCACACAACTTCAGATTAAGCCGCTTATTATAAGTCATGATAGATGACACATTCTTCAAGTTAGAATAAATTCTCGGTCACAAACATATCATATGTGCTGCCGGGTGGGCAACAGGCAACAAAATTTGTGAATACTGCCTACAGCTGTAAGAAAAGTTAGAATATGAATTCTAGACCAATTTATAGCCGTTAAAGAGAAACGTAAATATGCAAATTTAACCTATGATTTCTGTCCAAGAGACGACATTCTTTATCTGGTAGAAAAGCCCCTTAAGGACATTGTCCAGTTCAACTGGGGGGCGGTGGGATTTTGACGCAGCGCGGGAGCACGGCTCCTGACTGATGCAACAGTTCAAATCCGATCAAGAAGGTGGATTCTGAAGCGAGAACATAACTTTGGGAAAAAGGGACGGTGCGCTAATCCCGCCTCCTTGACAAGTTTTGACGGCGATTGCTGTAAATCTGATGAATTCACCACGTCAAAACTTGTCAAGGAGACGGGATTAGGGTATTCCGGAGCGATTCTCTGACTTCGGAATCCACCTTTTTATCGGACTTGAACTGTTGCATTAGTCAGAAGCAAAGCCGTGCTCCCGCACTGCGTCAAAAATCCCACGTGTTCCCAGTTGACCTGGACAATGCCTTTGAACGGCAGAACTTCTAATTTGTGCTCTTGTGAACTAGGAAAACCAACATGTTGTCTTGCGCGGCAGAATTATTCAGGAGGTACAGACAGCCAGTTAAAGTCCGACCATAGGAGGACAACTAATTATCTCCATTATGCCTCTCTTTTCGCTATTTTTGCATTTTCATGCCTTTACTCCATGGTTCTTTCGAAAGAGCTAAGTTTTCCTCTGTCCGAGTTTTCTGATGTAGCTGAACCATAGTTAGTTACGCTAGTTAATTTATAAAAAAATGCAATGCAGGGTAGGGTGTATCGATAAACGCTCATTTTCGATCAACGAGCAGGCCTCTATATCACATATTATAGGAACTTGATTACCACTGGCATTTCCATTCCAATAATCGCGGTTATTAGCCTCGAATAATTTATGAGTCATTGGCTGAAAATAAGCGCAAAGCCAATGGCAAATTGCTGATAGGCAAGGACGAGGGAGAGTAAATGAGGGGGTGGGGGGGGGGGGGAGGCAATGTGCAATAGGAACATACAGTATGTTCTGAGGTGAGATTATATATCCGTGTAAGAACACACTTCGACGTAGGTCTCGACAATATGGGAGACTTTGAGTGCGATGTGCCTTAGAAACAGTTATTGTGTACGAGTTAGCTGTAGAAGTTGATAGAGCAAAGCAAGCTCTATAGAATGATCACCAAAGAACCACCTAAATTGTAATCCAGGTAAAGTTTGAGGCCGAAATCGAAAAAAAAAATTGGCTTGAAAAATGATTAGCAAAAGAAGTTTACGGACGTTCAACTTACACCATCAGCCACAGTAGTACCATATGCCTTTCCTGGAGCTTTTCGAGCATAGAAAGTGAGATAAAAGTTAGTTTAAAAATGACAAATTCCGCCCCAGCCCTTCCCACATATGCCATTGTAACCAAAAGCCTTAGCAAGTATGACATCAAAATTTTACTTCCGCAAGCGCCCTGATAATCGAGAAAAGAAAAAAGTGACATTTTTCATTTTCGGGCTATATTATCTCCTCAGTTTTGAGACCCGAAAAAAATCATCACATACATTTTTGGGTATTATTAGGTTGTAACATAAGTCTTGAGACACTCTAAGTTCTTATGGCGATAATCATGCAGTTCATATTTTCATTGGGGACCCAGGGAACCATTCGATAGACCAAAGCATGCTCTACAAGAAATTATGCAAAAGTTCGCATCAGCTTCGACCCACTGTAAGTTTGCATCCAAAATGTGAGTCGCACTGAAGGCTCAGAAAATCGCGAAAAAAACATATCTTCGTTCAATAATCTGTGAATTTCCAGCTTGCTCACAAAAATGGCACACGATCTCAGACCCTCACATGTACCGTTCCTGAATTTCTTCCTCATTTAGAAATCGAGAAAACGAAGATTTTTATGTTTTCACAAAAACGAAGCTACGTTGCCCCCACTCATGTAATTGTATAGTGCAATCTCTTAGAAGTATAACAGTAAATGTCAGCATTCCACAAGCCTTAGTTTTCGAGAAATGATCATTTCAACTTGGAACACCCGAGTGAGGAGAGCTAAATTCGGTAATTTTCAAGAACTAGGGCTTGTGGAAAGCTGAAAATTTACGGTTATACTTCTAAGGGATTGTAGTATACAACTACATGAGTGGGGACAGCGTAACTTCGTTTCTGTAAAAAGTTGAAAATTTTCGTTTTCTCGATTTCCAAATGAGGAATAGATTCGGAAACGGTATCTGTGAGTGCCTAAGGTAGTGTGCAATTTTTGTGAGCAAGGAGATTCGAAGGATTTTATTGAACGGAGATATGATTTTTTCGCGTTTTTCTGAGGCTTCAGTGCGACTCACATTTTGGATGCAAACTTACAGTGGATCGAAGCTGATGCGATCCTTTGCATACATTCTTGTAGAGCATGCTTTGGTCTATCGAATGGTTCCCTGGGTCCCCAATGAAAATATGAACTGCATGACTTATCGCGTAAGGACTTAGAGTGTCTCAAGACTTATGTTACAACCATAATATGTGTCTGCCGTACAACGGCCAAGGTGGAGATAGAAATTTTCTGGAAGGAGATCCGATTTTTAGATTGCTGAAAAATTTTGATATCTAGCCCCGAATTTCAGATGGATCATGACTTAGATGAGTCTTTGGTGGTCATTATGTAGCACTTGCTTTACTCTGTCAAATGATACCTCGCGTCTGCCAAGAATATAAAAAGTTTGATTTTTTTTAAAATACAGTTTACTTTTGGACAACTTAATATAAGGATAAGATAGGCATAAGATTGGTTCTTTGAAAAGCTCCGATGCACTCCCCTTTCTGAAGAAAATATTTCTTATCTCTGCCTCTCCCCAGCGTAGAGGAAAAGCCTTCAGCGCTTATAGCACTTGGGAACCCTTTAGAATAGAAAATATGGTTAAGTGAACAAGTTTCCGAAAGATAGGTCTCAATCAATCCATAGAACAGTAACATTTGGTGCTGCAAACAGAATCCGACGCTCTTGTTCGAGTTTCTCCCGCTTCGACTGCAATGTTCGCATTGCGATAAGATCACAACTGGGTCATTCTTTCAAGGTCATTAAATTAGTTCAGGTCTGTTCAGTGAACTCCACCAATTTCCCAACTGATAACGCTTGTTTCTATCATCACTTCAAACAATATTTGTTTTTTTTTTCGTAATTATTAATCCAATAGTGGTAGACGACTATCATTTTAGGAGCTGGGGGATGTTGATATTCTACTTGTTACTTCTTATTTTCGCTCGTGGGTGGCAGTCAGGAGGTAAAACATATGCCTTTTGTTCTATTAATTTATTTCTATTTATCGCACTTTTTTACCAACAATATGCTAAAAGACACTCAAAAGTTGACTTTCCGGTGCTTTTTACAATGTTTTTAATCCTTCATTTGATACTAGGCTAATACAAACATTCTGTCACACTATTTTTCAATGCCACGCTCCCTGATTTTCCAGCTGATTTGCATGCCTCTAGCTTTGTTTGAAAGAAGAAATGATGCCCTTCATGATTACACTTAAAAGACTTCTAGTTGACGCTTTCCGAGATCCAAAATGAAGAAGGTTACTCTTACTTCTCAAAACTGGGTCGTTAGAAGTATAAAACGCTTCAATTTCCTCAGTAATCAAAATGATATGAATTTTCATGACCCACTCAACTCATGAGCAAAGTTCGTACCATATAGTGAGAAAGACGCCAAAGAACCAAAGGTGAAGGAGGAAAACTTTACCGTAAAAATCCGAATAGCCAGTATATTACCTAAGTTAAGTTTCAAGATCTACTTCGCGGAAACAAATTGATTGTGAGTTTTTGAGGTATTTTCTGACAATTTCTTGATTATGTACCAAAAAAGCTGATAAAGACGTATTTTGCTTTTTTCCACTTTACAATGAACTTGGGCAAATGAGGACAAGGTGATCGCGACAGATGTTGATAAGTAGGCCAATTTGTTACAGAAAGACTCCGTGAAAAACTAAGCTGCTCATATCAGAAGACGAAAAATACCTTTAATTTTGATTTCGCTGAGGTTTATAATGAGAAGACTCCAATCTCAAGGCATAACAATATTGGCTACAGATAAGTAGAGTCTGACCCCAGCACTAGAACATGTGCTAATCTCACCTGAAATATAAATTTACTTTTGTGGCCTCTTTGAACACTGTGCTTGAGAGTTGGAGCTATAGTGATTGCATTATCAGTGGCGGTCGCAAGATTCCGTCCCGCGGGTCGCGGCAAAATATTTCACATGAGGTGCCGGCGTTAGCCAATTCCGAAAAAATTCTTGCTTCTCAAAATTTTTGTGGGCCCCCGAAAAAAATTTTTTTTACGGGCCTAACTTGAATTTTTGAAAAATTTCAAAAAATGTTCGAATTATTTACAAGAACGAACAAGTCACTTGTACATTTTTATAACCCACGTAAGTAGTTTTTTTAAAAAATTTCGCAACCCATCCGCCTGCCAGGCATATAATGGAAATCGCTTATGGCATGCTTGAGACAAGAATTCCTAATGTGTTTTGAACATTTTTGCTTAAGGAACGAATTTTTGTGCTTATCGGATAAGAGTTTCGTATGACGCAAGGTATCAACAGTCTCTCGAGTATTTTTCATCTATTTTTTGCTAAACAATATCTTTTCTAATGCGACTCTTCAAATTTGCGTCAATCGCTAATTATCGGTTGAAATTTGTATTCAATTACGTTAGCACAATAATTTCAAAGTTTTTGCAAATCAGTCAGATGGAAAAGGAAATAGAAGTTGTTTTGTTGGGGAATGCTGTCCTAGCCTTTTGCAGTTTGCATATCGCTGAAAAATGCAAAACTGTCATGAAGGGAACAGGTTGAGAAAAAGAGCGCGCAAGTTTAAGGCGACAAATTCGCTTTTTAGGTCCGCTTAGCTTTCAAAATAAATTTGCACTATAATGAATTCTCAATTATTTTATATTTATTTAAAATCCATGAAATGACGACTAGTTTCAGATGCTGTTGAAGAAAGTAATGATCTGGTTTCTGTTGACACTGAAACAACCGCTGCAGTACCGCTGCCCGTCGACAATGATTTGGTAATAGGACGAGCCTCTGAAAAGATGGTAAGTATCAGAGTATCAGTTGAAACGCTGGAGAAACATGGAAACATATCATAAGGGTTACCTAAAATGAGTGGAATTCTATTGGTGAAGCTGTACTGAGGAAGACAAATCAAGAGCCGTTTATAGAATGTGCTTGTTTGTTCAAATTGACTGACGACCTTATTTAGGACACGAAAAAGTGGGAGCTTGTAAAACACTACTTCAAAATTTTTGAATTTTACAACGCTATTTCTGACCCATTTTATGCTTATTACGCGCATTTATGTGAGAACAGATGATTGCATTCGGGTAGTTTTACTGCCAACAGCTTCGTTATGAAGATTACAAAGTTTTGGCACTACTATGTATGTAAGGCTAATTACTAGAGAGGGCTGTTTAACTGAACCGAAACCAATCAGTTCATAAAAGAGTGGATTTATCAGTGAGGTAAGGCATATAATAAATAAATAATAAAGGGTTACTATTAAGCCTGTTTTGCCTCTACCCCTATACAGGAATACAATAAGTGAAAACCACTGAGGCTCTTCAGTAGGGAAGAGCGGTTAATTAACAATAGTGGTATAATGCTGGAAATTTATACTAGTTTGGTAGGGCAAAAGATCAAAAGATTAGCAATGATCTAGTCTACCAGCATATAAGTTACTTCAGATACTCGCTGAGATTTCTGCTGAGGACTTGAGCGAAAACTCTACCAACAGTCCAGTCAGTAGCTCTTCCGAAGATTCTCTTGGGAGGTTGGAGAGCACTCAGTAAGTAGAAAATTGTAAAAAAATTGCTTTTGATGTTACCGGCTCATTTTAGTGAGAGTAGTGCGACCGAGATGAGTACAGAGACGACACCGCGGTTACCCCAGTTTGAGTTCATGCCTCAATTTGAACACAGTACATACGATTTCATGGTCCCGGAAGGCACGAGTCCAAATTCCACAATCCTGGCAGTGATCTCCTATCTGGGCCGAAAAGATCGGCCTATGCCTTTGTTCAAGATTTCTTTCGACAGAATGAGATGGTTTGAGATTGGCAGTGTCACGACAAGAGAGGTTAGCTTTTTTAATTTTATAAAGACCTAGTACAGAAATCAAAGTTATCGGGGAAATTTTGTTGAAGAAATTGAGGGAGAAGGATGATGGGTGATTGAGCAAAGTGTATTAGTAAGCTTTTCATTTTCAGCTCGAAAATTATGCTGAATATATGGTTACGATCAATCAACGAGCTGATGTTTATGTGCAACATAGCTTAACGAAAAATGGATCATATAAGTTCTCCATTGAGGTAAGTCAAGTTCTACTCGCTTTTCTGAAACTGTTAAAATATGCCTGATTATTGAAAAAAAACGATTTTTTTGCAATTTGAGAGAATGACGTGAAAATTGAAGAGCTTGGAAGCAGTGAGAAATCTTCATAAGCTTTTGAAGAGGAAATTCGCAAAAACTAAGAAGCTCCCTCTTTTGAATTTGTTAGGCAATGGAAACTCAACGCAAGATCCGCATGACATCGAAGCTTCATGGAAAAGTCTGGGAAACGAAGTCGAGGGAGAAAATGTTTAATATACTTTTGAAACACGCAAAGTTCTGATCCACGTGAAGCTGAAGCCAAATTCAGGAACCGTACTCCCTTATTGCACACATATGAACTCTTCATATCAAGCATTACATGTGCAGTTACTTTTTTTCTGTGGCCAGAATATACACTGGGCCAAAAAGACGAAGTTTTCTGTTTTTCCAGCTAAACTTTGTATAATTCAAAAACCAGCGAATTGTAGAAGGTTGAAAGATTATGGTCGCACTTCCAAACATTTGCAGTGTAGATTTATCCATGTGCGAATATAGCATGGTTTGGTTAAAGCGTGCCAATTTTCCTTTTTCTACTCACTAGCCGTGAAAGGAAAGTGTACATATGACTTTCTAATGTGGAAGTTATATCTATTGAGCAAGTTGAAGGTTTGTGGGATTGTTTGAACAAAAAACCGACTTTGGGTACTTGTAATTTTTTTTGTTTTTACTTCCAACTTCAATTGGATCAATCCTGTAAGAATGTTTGCACACCATCTTGTAGGTCTTGCATTGTTCCACCAAACAATTTGTCTTATTAGATTTTTTACTCAATCTGCCGCAGTAGCATGTGGAACCACTGATTCTGCATCAACATAAATTTTGAGCAAAAATTGTAATTTTTTATATTTATGTCTACGCAGATGTAACTAGAAGTTGCACCAAATACTCTACATATGCAAACATATTTTCACAAACGTCGAGATGCTAGTCCCTTTCAGGCACATGATGATGGGAAAATCAACACAGCTAGCATTCGCGTCGATGTTCTATCACTATCTCCAACGACTCGTCGTACCACAAAAATCACAACCTCAACAACTCAGGAGACTATCCCGGTCGTCAACATAACTACTACCCGAGAAGTATTGTCGATCACAACACCCTTGATCACTACCACAAAGAATCCTGCGGATGGTACTAAGACTGGGAAGAGTGCAGACGCTGAGGTCACTGCTTCTTCTAGCGTTGAGAATGAAACGACTGTGGCGGAGAACATTGAAGTAGAAGTAACAGAGACAACAGGAAGGGTCACTAAGACCACCTCTGGTAAGGAAGAGGAAAGTGCCACCTCGGAAGCTATAGAACTTCCTACGAGCGGAAGTGAAGAGAATGAAGAGTCACAGAAGAAGACTACTACCGAAATTTCACAGCCAATCCCTACGGCTATAATAACTATCATAACTACTGAAACTTCTCCGCCAGAATCTTCTAATCCTGGACCAACAACCCTAGGAGAACTTGATGTTCAGACCACTACAGCAGCAGCAGATAATCTTGAAGAAGTAACTTCAGAAACCACTGCTGAAGTTCTTGACGGTAGCACTGAGGATGCCCTCTTCAGTATGGCGTCCGACATCTTCACGGATTCTCATCCTTCGTCAACGACTGCTCCTACATCCACTGAAGAGAATGCCATGTCCGAAAATGGGCAAGAAACTACGAACCCGGCTAAGGAAACTATTACTATGACCACCACAACCCTTGAGGAGGAAACAACGGAGATTTCAGCTACTAGTAATGAAGTCATCACTAGCACGGAAGAGAAAAGAGATGGTAATTTTTTCTAAACAACCATCTTTTGGAGAAATAATTAAGCATTTTTAGAGATCAAAATAGTTGTGGAAGGAGCCGAAGAAGATAAATTCCACATTGAGGGCTCACTTGAGAGCGGAAGTTTGCTACGAGGACTAGCTGTCTCGGTCATTTCGGGAGAAAAGGTAGGATTCCTTCAGAAGGACTTTTCTAAAAGAAAAAACGATAACCCAATTTAGAAAAAGGGATACACAAAGCTTTTACTCGCTGATGACAGCATTTTTGACATTAAACCAAAGCACTTGTATTCTGGAAATAAAGCATATCTCTTCGTCAAGAATCCTTCCCTCCTGAGTACCTCAAACGCTGTAAAGGTAGCCTTTAACTTTCGTTTTGTAAAATATTCGCACATACTGCTGTTCAGATCATGGCAGAAGGAAAGAGTTCCACGGCTGCAAAAGAGATTACGATCACAGCTATACCACCTGCCAGAACAGAATCAAAAAATGATGTAAATGTGGAGTCCGAAATGGTATCGGCTAGTCTTTTATGTTTTTTGGGTACTACTCAGTCTTTTATTTTCAGATCAATGTGATTGAATACAAAGTTTCCATACCTGAGGATGCTCCATCGGGTTTCACCGTTTATCAAATCAAAGACGGTGATAGGAGAAAACTGGTTGGACCTCCTGGAGTGTAAGCTTGTTTATAAGTATTTGACAGATCAAATTTGGAAACACAGTGTTACTGTAAAAAATTAAACTTGATTCTCACAGCATTGCTACACGACGTTGGAATAAGCATGTGAATAAGAATTTCAACAAATGCTTCAGGTTCTCTCTTATCGGAAAGGATCTCATACTTACATGCCCAGATGAAGGAAGCTGCTTGGACTATGAGAAGCAGCAAGTCTATCACGTTCTTCTCGTAGATACGCAGGGTCAGTAATTTCTTTTTTTTTTGCTTTTCAAATCATTTGAAAATGAGCAGATGGAGCAAGGGAGAATGAGCGGGAATCTACAATACCGTCTTTCAATCAGTTTAACGAAGATGAATATCTTCGAACTAGACTTTTGCAGTTTCTGAAGAGCTTTTCACAACTTTTTCCGTGTGATTAACGGGCGCCCAAACGAAAAATGCGACTGCCAGTGGGAAAAATAATTTTGTGCAAAAATAATCGGTGATTACTTTTGCTGGGGTTTTGCGAAATTGTGCACATTTCAATCTATTTTGAAAAATCATTCTTGCAAATGTGTCTACCTATAACATTTACTTTTTGCATGTGAAGCAGCTCTTATTGCCAACTCTCATCGCACGTTCAGAATCTTTATTTTAAAAAATAATTCTGCAAATTTATTTGTGTTCTTGTAGGTCAGATAACAGCTCCTGTTCAAATTACGATCAACGTACAGGATGTTAATGACAATCAACCTCATTTGGAGGTTTCTGACAATCACATACGATTGTCTAACAACAGACTGATATCGCCATTTTTTGTGCAGGTATATCAATATTTTTGTCTGAAAGAAAGTAGATTCTACAAAAAATGTTCAGATACTAGATGGTGATAGTCCAGCTGCAAGTGAAAATCGCTTGTCGCTTGCTGGTAGCGCTGCAGGCTTTCTTGGGCTCTCCAAAATATCGGAAAACCTTTACCAAGTGCGTACTAATCACAAGTTATCCGTTGTAAGGAGGAGTTTTCTTTGTTTGAGGTTGATGTCATTGGTTTCGCTCCATCTGGCAAACATGAGCTGGAGATCACCGTATCCGACGATGTATTTTCCGACAAAGTTACAGTAAATGTTCAAGCACAGGTACGATAATAATCCAGAGGGCTCTTGTTTCACACAATGGACGAATCTTTTGTCAGAACTCTCGTTCCCATGCCCGCTTCAGACGACCGAAGTACACAAAAACTGTCACAGCGGATAAAATTCATGAGGGTCAGTTTTAATATTTGAGTCACTAGTTCTCATTTATGTCATTTCAGGAAACCAGCTTCTGCAGGTAGAGCTGGAAGGAGTACCCATTGATGAGGCTCGATTTGTCATTTTGCAAGGAAATCCCGGTTGGCTAAGCATTGATGACTACGGAGGACGAATTGGCATAGCGAAGTTTATAAAGTTGGTTCCAATACTTCTATAAATGAACTTGAATGTACATGGGCATATAGGGCTGGCATAATCAGCTCATCAGTTAAACCTAGTTTAGGCATTGCACTTTTTTCGAGGTCAGCTTCCACTCAAATTTTTGCCTACCATGTTTTTGCCATTCCGGGGCCTTTCCGTGGCTCTGATTACAGTTATGAAGTTCAAATAGTGCAAAACCTCTAAAAAATATGATATCCGAGGACCATCTCTTGAGGGAGCGGGCGGCTTTCAGTACATGGGTGGGCGGGAGTCTGATAGATCCTGGGCGGGGCCCTACAGCACTTTCCAGGCCCCTTATCTCCATTCATAGACAACATTAAGGGACCAATCCAACGCAGAAGCCCATCTCGTGGGGCCTACATTCAAGATTGACACTAAACGGAGGGGTTAGATTTAGCCTGGACACTGCCTTAGAAATTCGTTGAGAAAGAAGCATTTGAGGCAAATTGTGTGTGTATTGGACAAGAATAGTGGCAGTCATAATGTGGAAGCCGCTTATTTGAATCAAACAGTTATCTGCGAGAATTTTTCATTTGCAAAACAATTTTTCCTCAAAGAAATGAACTTAAATATAATGACTAGACTGAAGGACTTTCTAGCAATTATCTGTAGCCAGAAAATTCAATTAAGGATAACTATGAAAGTCAGAGAGGTGATATTCGCCAACAGTTCCAATCTTCTTCTAAACCGTTCTCTTCATGCCCAAAAATTTTCGCTTTTAGTGAATTTAAGCAGACTTAAGCTCTGCCGCATAGAACGCAATTTCTCAAAGTATCGAGCAACTTGATCTGTGAATGACTGCTTCGTTTTTAGAGTACTTTTTTAAATCTCAAAAAGTCATAACTTTTCAATGAACCTATTTTGTTACATGTGTTTGTGATTCATGTGTGATTCATGGTACGTAAATTCTCGACATTGAAGCGAGTATTTTGTGGTCTTTATTTTGAAAGAAACATGTGGTTAATTGTAAAATCCAAGAAATTTGATTCTGTAAAACAGTTAAAGCTGCTAGAATGTAAAATCTTCTTTCGATGGCTGTCTATGGCGATACTGTAGAGTCCTAGCACATGTCCTTTACAAAGAATTTCTTTCTCTACTTCATTTGAGCTCTGAAGATGACATCATGTCGTTTCAGAGAAGTGGAAGCGGGTGATTACACAGTGTCTGTTGGCGCCGTCGATCGGCAGAGCAATGCACTTCTAGCACAGACAACCATGGAGATAAAAGTAGTTGGTGGAGCGGAAATGGACAAGATGGTGTTCGATCAGACCTTTTACGAGAGGAGCTACGATCGCGGTTGGTTCATCGACCTTAAATTTGCAAACCTACAAATGTTTCATTTACTTATGTCAAGAAGGAATCTACAGTCACGTCATTTTCTTAGTTGCGCTAATAATAAGAATGTAATGGTTAAATTTTTTTGATTGAAAGCGTATGCTTGTGGGCGAAAATGACTACATTTTTTACATTTATTCGGTGAATGCTGTATTAGTGTTCAATAGTCAAATTTCCAGTCAAATAGTCTTTTATTTAATAACACCAAACTTAGATCAAATAAGCAATCAAATAATCAAAGCAACTTTTTTCTAATCTACAATCTTACCTAATTAGACCTGGATTCCTGAATTCATTAGAGATAGTCGGACTTGATTGATCTTCTTCGCAGATAAAACCCAATTATTGAACAGTTAGGGTTAGAATGTCGTAATAGAAGTAGATTGATTTTGCAAGCTGGTCATGGAATCTTATATATAAAGCTGAATGTCTGTTTGTCTGTCTGTCTGTCTGTACGTATGTTCCGAATAGAAAATTCCATTTCTGAATGATCCGGACCAAACTTGGCACACATACACTACGGGCCCCGGCGGGTGTCATAGGCTACTTTTCGTCATCGATCGATGTCGATTTTATCGATTTTTTGCAAAATTTGAGCTACGGGGCTGGGAGTTGGCACAGGGAGTAATCGAGCATGCCGATTACGAATACAACATTAGTTTTTAAAATCGTGCGTTATTATCGATTTTATCGATTTTTTTTGCAAAGTTTCAGCTACGGGGCTGGGATTTGGCACAGTGGGGTAATCGCGCATGCTGATCACCCTCGTGGGGGTGATCAGCATGCTCGACTACACCCCTCTGCCAAATTCCAGCCCCCTAGCTCAAATTTTGCAAAAAATCGATAAAGTCGATAAAAGTAATGCACGGTTTCGAAAACTAATATTGTATTCGTAATCAGCATGCTCGATTACCCCCCTGTGCCAAATCCCAGCCCCCTAGCACAAATTTTGCAAAAAATCGATAAAATCGACACCAATCGATAACGAAAAGTGGACTGTGACACCCGCCGGGGCCCGAGGTGTATGTGTGCCAAGTTTGGTTCGGATCGATTAAGAAATGGAATTTTCTATTCGGAACATACGGCGGAGCCGGGTATGCCAGCTAGTTATGGATAAAAAACACTGCAAGTATCACATATCAAGTACACAATTTCAGAAATGTCAAGTGACTTCACCGTTCCGTTCAAACTTTTGAAAAGAGCTCCAGTCACAGTGGATACGGCGTTAGCTATTGATGAAAACGGTCAACAAATAGAGTTTAATAAAGTAAGATTTCTGCGAAATTTCGGAATTTTGCAGATTAATATGAAGTCAATTTAGAGAGACGTGACTGTGAAGGATCAAGCGGTGGTATTCAAACAATCTGCTTTGAGCAATCTCAGAGCTGTCAGTGTGCAGTTGTCATCGAACGGCGAAAAAGGTAAGGTCTTCTGTAAGTAATGGTTGTCCCTTGCTGTTCACTAAAATTCACAGTCTTACAAATTTAGCCAGTGGAATAGACCCGAAACAAATAGGGGAAAGAGACTAAAATTAATTTCTCCAAGGAATCCATTATATATAAATCTAAATCTAGCAGTATTAGGAAAAATCTTTTGAAAAATTGACTTGATGAAGACCATAGTCCTAGTGCACAGGTCTGTGATCCAAAAGTCTAATTTTAGAATATCTGCTAAATTAATTTTTTCGTCATGAAAGCGATAAGATCACGATTTTGCTCAAGGATATGGTGACATTATTCGCAAAGAAATATATTTAAACATTCAAAAATTCAAGCTCTATACTTATGCCATTTCCTTTCACGCATATATGTAAACTAACTTATCTGTTTACAGCAACGGTCATGCTTTCGCTTACTTCTTCACCCGAGTTCATCGAGAAGAAGAAACGAGAATCTACCAGGCCCATTTTTCCAAAGCCGTGGACTAGAACCAACAATGTCATCGAGGTAAATCATCTTTGTCAAGCATACGTAATTCATGAAAGAAGGAAAACCTGGAAACTTCAGGTAACCGTACCTGAAGAGCTCCCCAAAGGTTACATAGTATACTCTCTTCCTGCTGTGAATCCTTCGGATGGATCACTCGTGGCTGTTAGAATGGATGGCAACATGGCTGAAGCTTTCAACTTTGATTCTAACACAGGTATTGCTTTTGTTAGGAGGTTTTCTAAAAATCGTGAGAGTTTTTCAGGAGCGGTTTCAATTGCTCATCGTCTGGATTTTGAGTCGATAACTCCATACGAGCGGAGCTTTTCGTTAATGTTAACGGCAGGCTCTCCTGATTACGAGTCAGTGGCAGAGTTAAGGATTACGGTGATAAATATCGACGATAATCCGCCCGTTTTAGAGAAGGAGGGGCTGAACAATGAGGTGATCTTTCTGTCTTTGTTGAATAGTTGCATTCATTTGCGCATGTAATGCAGTTGTATTTTCAGCTCCCATTGCCCGAGAATCTCCCTCCATCAACAGTCATTGCAAGCTTAGGAATTAGCGACGCAGATTTTCCATCGAAAAATGGCAGATTTGTTGTCGAAAAATCGGGTCTTGGAAGCGAGCTCTACACGGCTTCTGTGGTAGGGCTAATGGCAACATTTCTATTATGTTGAATTATCGATTTGCGGTTCTCACAACTCCCAGAATATCAAATACGGCTTTCGTGCTTTTGCAACCTTTAAGCGTCATTTTATAATCTTATCAAATGTTCGAACGTCCCAACCAAAAAATATCGATTTCGATTTATCGTTTTTTCTCGGATCTCGCAACTCTCAGATTTCAAATATTCGTCGACTTTGATTCTGTTTTCGCAAGCTTAAACAAAATCAATTTTGTAAATTCAGTAACATTCGAAACCAGAGATCATTGATTTTATTGATTGACCCTTCTTATAGGTGAACTCATCCCTGCTAGTTTCGGTAGCTGAAAATGCAACTTTGGACCGTGAAACTATGGAACGTCAGACGTTACATCTGATTGTGAAGGATGAAGCTGGTAACCAGGATTCAGCTACGGTAACAACCTAGTCCATGAATTTGTTGATGTTACCGTATTCTTACCGTATTTCAGCTCTCGATCCGTCTGTTGGACGTGAATGACAATGCTCCACGATTCTCACAGGACCAATATGCCATGCAAGTAGTTGACAACTGGCCTCCTGGAGTTGTAGTGGATCGTGTGATGGCAACCGATTCAGATACCGGGAAAAATGCACGAATAATTTACTCTCTTTCAACGGAAAGCGCAAAATGTGAGTTTAGTTTTTGTAGGTCAGCTTTTTCCGAGGCAAAAGTTCTCCAAGATTTCACTATTAACACATTGATGACAACGTGAGCCACATGGTGGGTCATGCAATGACTGCCAAATGGAACAATGTAACCCACATGGTGGGTCACGGCTTAAATTCTGTTGAAATGATTGCAAACACTCGGTACAATCGTTTCATGAGGTCTTCTATGCTCCGACCCCAAGTGACTTGACTTTGACGTTTCTTGGCTGCTTTTAAGAATTTGTTTAGGTATAATATAGAAGACGATCTGCGTGATTTTAGCTAGAAATTTTCAACTTATAGTGGAAGGCATTGTCCCACAACGGGGACAACTAAAAAATGCGCGTTGTCGTCAAGTGTTAATTAATAACTAAGTCCCAGCTGATGAAGCAATAATATCCTTACGAGGCGCCTATCCGATTATGACGACCTAGCTCTTCGCTAATTTTTCCTAGATGTTTACAGTTTTATTGATTTCTGAACACTTCTGTTGATCAGATCAGAGACGTTCTTAATTTTTGATTCTTGATCTCAAGAGTAAGGCCTAGCATATTGGCCGAGCATCACGCTGAATTAGCTAAGGCTTCTGACAATGAGCCTCACTGATGGAAATTTACTGACAATGAAATTTGTTCAATTACTGCCACCAATGCTCCGTGCGACAGAAAATTTGACGGACTGTTAGAGATGTCAACTGGAGGAAAAACCGTAATTTTTCCTGCTAATGAGACATACGTTGCAAGAGCTTAAGAAACTGACTCGTCTTGGTTGCTTTCATAAGAAGAGGGAGCAGACGCTATAGGTATCATTTAGAACGTTTGAACACAAGCACTGCGAGTTCTTCACTGCATGTGCGAAGAGTTTATGGTTATCTTCTTAATCATACACTTAATCTTTGCATGAATTTCTCAGCTTAGCGACTGTCTCACATGATAGGTTGTCGCGAAAGTTTTGTCGGTTTTTCCAGCTGCTATGAAACTACGCACAATAAAGATCTCATTGAGTTTCAGCATGCATTCTATGCACCTCTTCTTCTGTTTCTTACGCTCGCACTTTCGAACCAGAATTCTCTTTTTTCTTGATAATTGCCAAGATTCTTCACCCGTCATATCTATCTTCTCAAATTTCGGCTAATTTATGAGAATTCTGTTCCACAGTATTGAATAAGATAAAATATGGCACAAATATAGCAAATCACGGGCTTTAAGGCAATGCATAGCTGCTGTTTTAAGCTTCATTAAATTATTCGAAGCTCTGGATTTTTGATAACGTCATGAAACGCGCAAGTGCAGCAAAAGCATGAAAGCTTCTAAAGTTTCTGCTTGTTGGAACTTGATCGTTTTCAAACATTACTTGTGCAGCATAATCAAGTTTGATTTGCTCTGAAAAAACGGCTTCTGGGATTTTCGGTATTCTTATCTTATTTCTAAAAGAGGTCAAAAGACTCGGTTTTTTAAAAGAAATAATTTTACAGACTTGATAAACGTGACTTACGTAATCCAAAATGGGCACAATATAGCCCAAAGCATGCTTTACATAACAGCTACCAGCGCTTCCCAAAAATTTTGGGATAAGATTTTTTTTATGAGGGAAGATTTGGCATTCCTGTCACGATGGCAATGGCGATAACATCGCAAAGACAGCATAGATCAGAGAGGAAATATAGCTTCGAAAAATAGGATAAAAATTTGACTCGAACGGTACCTAGGTTGTTCATCGATTGTTGTTCTGTGAGTTTCGGTGATCGATGGACAAAACTTCCACGAGGACTCAATATTTGCTTTTCAGTTTCAGAGCATGTTGAGCTGATTTTGTATGCATTTATATTAGATATATAGCTCTCTCTATGCAATTGATCTAGGCGATTTGGGCACATAGGAACAGGGAGAAAACTATATGGCTGGTGAAATGCAAGCTCTGAGCATGAAGTCAATGGTGACTGCCTTCAGCTGCTTTTGTTCGATCTAGAGCTCTGATCTCTGCTGTGTGAAAACTGTGAATGAGTGCAATTCATTGGTTAGTATTTGCTGCTATTTAGCTTTCTATAAGAAAGTAAATTGGTGGCTTGTGTGTACACTAAATTCGAGCTAATGTGCATTTTCTGTGATAGTTTTATAGCTCAATTGCAGTCCCTGCAATAAACTAGCCTCCAGTGATGAATTCTGGTTTCCTTCAAAACAAAGCCGCAATGATCCGTGCCTTTAAATTTCTTTTTACTGAGTTCTTGGCGTAAGGTTCGCGTCCTGCAGAACAAGTGGAGGAATGCCTAGTAATGCTCTCCTCCCATCTGATTTTTCAATAATGAAACTTTAGAAGCTTCAAAGAATAACATGTGTGCTAGCATGTGAGATAGTGCTCAAAGATGTTTACGGTACGTACTTTCATCAAATCTAAACCCAGTATTTTTCTACCTCTGGTTGACCAAAAATTTGAAAACTAGCGACGAAAAAAATAGAGGAAAGAAAATAACGACAACATGTCTTCTACAAAGTGGCTGCAATATTTACAATCCTTCTGCTCGTCAATGACAAAACTCCAATAACAATGCGAAGAGCTGGAGTTACGCTCGTTCCAATCAATTTTCGATTAGTCATCTTCCTTGCGCATTTTCAACCACAACTGAATTTATTTTTGTTAGATGGTTTCGAAAGTAATTTCGGTTCTTCAGATAAGACCCTTAGAAGACGTTGACCGCCTTCAATGCAAATATTCGTGTTTTTCGAACGGTACTTTCTTCACTCCACTTCGACCAACTTCTCAGAATAAAACCAAAAAACTATGATTTTGGTTATATGGTCATTCTATGGTTTGTTGCCATGGTCAAGCTTCGCTATTTTCATTTTATGTCGACCCACTAACAGATGCAAGCAACAGATACATAAACCAAACCCTACGAAACAACTTTTTCCATTATTTTTGGATAGATTTTTCATTATAACTGATGGTCTGTCTCGGGCACAAGTGCAGCGAACACCAATAAATCATCGAAACTCGAAACTTCCAGAAGTCAGAAGAAAAAATCAGCATTATTTTACAAAGCAAATGAGCGTTCACGAATTCGAAAGATCAGCTTTCTAATTTTTTGTGTACACTAGGGTGCGTTCAAAAACTTAAAGTATGATGATTTTGTCCCCAAAAACTTTACGAATCCAACAAAAAAGCATAACGGGAAGTGGAGAAAAAGATGCATCGAATGACACTCGAGATGCTGCCCGTTGATATTCTGTAAGGTGATGTGTGATCACATATGGAATCTTTATGACTACAAAAACAATTAGAAAAAAAATATTTTGAAGAGCAACTTATGAAGGAAAAACAAATTATTTTGTATTTTGTAAGCTTCGCTCCGCTATCGTTACTTGGACTCAGTGCTCGGCACGAGGTGGCCTCCCAGAATTGCAAAAAACGAAGTCCACTTCGACTCACTATGAAAGTACGACTCCGCCATGAGAAAGAACAGAAAATACACGAAAAGGAACGGAACAAAGCAAAACAGAAAATGCCAAAGAAGCATCAAACAAACGCGATGATGTTCTTATTCTCTGGATTGGCGGCATGAGGTAACCAGCGCGCAGCACGACGCGCGGAGCAACTTGCCGCCGCCATTAAAGATTTTCAAGGGGCTGCAACTAAGCGGGGAGGGGGGAGGGGGTTAAGGCGTTTCAGGAACAGATTTATATGGTTTCGGATGTAGAAAGAAAATAAAAACATTATGTAAAGGAGCAAAATTTTATGACTTTTCTTTCCCAAGCCACCTCCGTGGCTTCCAGGTGGCTTGAAAGCCACCTAATTCCGAAAAGAGTTAAGTGCGCCATCAGTTCACATAATTTTTTCATATTCTTTCATACATAGTCTTATCTCCTCATCGTCCATGTATACACCAATTTTGGTGTCATTTCGTTTCCACTTCGTTGTAAACAAGCCCTTGTTTTTTGGAAGATCATGCCGCCGGAATGTCAGTAGCGTGCCGGCGGCACGCGGACTGTAAAAACTACGTTTGCTTTTTCTCCCAAAAAAACGATATCTAGCTTATTTGGTAAGCACGTGTGCCTGCACTGCTTGAACCTCTCCCGGAGACATTGTAAAGATTTGCGAAAGTTACCGAAAAAACGTTGTAGCAATCATCATGAGTCGAATTTTGGTCATTTCCTGAAATGCTAGTCAGAATATAGTGAGACAACAAATATTTGAAAGAGGATGAGAAGCTGCAGTCAAATGCGCCCAAAAGCGAGGCTTTGTTCTGTAAAATATACGCTCATTCAAAAAAAGAAACAGTTTGGCGACCTAATATTTGACGTATAATCAGTGGCGGTCCCAGGATTCCCATCCGGGGGGGGGGGGGGGGGGAGGGGGGCAAAATTTTTTTTAAATGAAGGTGCTTGGCGTTAGCCACGCCCCCCAAAAAACTTTTTTTATAAGGCTAATGTGAATTTTAAAACAGTTTAAAAACTATTTTGATTGCTTACAAAAATAAACAAGTCACTTGCACATTATAATCCACTAAGTAAATTTCAATTTCGCAACCCATTCTCGCAGTGATACATTAATACAAATGGCGCCCCCCCCCCCCTCCTCGGTCCCCCATTTGTATTAATGTATATTGCGCAGAGGGAGCTATACAGGGTGTCCCAAAAATGTGCCTATTTAATTGTTAATAACTTTTTTATCATTGGGTCTTTTGAGAAGTTTCACGTACCAATCTGTAGAGCTGGCTTTAACTTATTAGAATTACCGTTCTCTCTTCATTACTATAGGATTACGGTAGGAATTTGCAGCATATGTCGCCATTGTGAAAAAGGCCGTCGAAAACTTTTTTCAGAAAATCTAAAAATTTGTGTAACAGAGCTTTCATGTACGCTGATATCACTGCATGATTTTTTGCGTGTTCACAGGTCTTTCTGAATGGCTTAATCAGATTTTTGACGGGTATCAGGAATCGGTTGTTAAGTCATATCTTATAAAACTTATGAAAAAAGCGTTACGGTGAAGTGCAATTTTCAAGTTCGAAATTAGCAACTCTGATTAGCCTAGTGCAAGACTTCTCAACTTCTGCAGTCCTTTGTCAGGGTAAAATATGACAGAAAACTCTCTTCGCGGTTCCTACCGTAATCGTACACTAATGAAGAGAGAACTGTAATTTGCTAGATACTGCAAATCTAAGTTAAAGCCAGCTCTACACGAAAAACTCAGAGACAAAAGAGTTATTGACAATTGGACAGTAAGCACATTTTTTGGATTACCGTGTATATCGAAAGCGGTAAGCCACTCTACTAATTCTACATTAGAATTTGAAGCTTGGGCAAGCTTATGGAACTTTTTTTGAATCGACGATCTTAAAATGAGAAAAATGTGTTTTTTTTTCTAGTAACCACAATTTCAGTACATGATGGAGCACTTTGAAGCAAAACTTCTCTGGATTGTAGTAGTCTTCGGCGCAAAAAAATGTGTAGAATGAAATTAGAACCCTGCGCAATAATTTATGAAGTTACATCTCTGAAGAACTCTTTGGAATAACATTTTTTGTTCAGAAAAACTATCTCTATCTTGATTCCGATGATTCTATAGCGTGTTCTTTACACTGACTCTAATTACTAGTTTTTACAATGATAAAATTTTTTATTGTTAGCACACTTCACAAAATTTATCTTGCAAATCATTTGGACTGACAGAGAGCCTATGTAACGACTAGTTCCATTGCCGTACACATGTCATTAATAAGCCGATGTAAGACAGTGGACTCGTTTTGGATAACAGCCGTCAGAAGTACCTGGAGTGTACTCTTTTTATTGTTGTGATTCTAACACCTTCTGACACTTCTACAGCACTTCTTTTAATACCCATACAAGATTATTTGGCTGAAACTGGGCAATATCAGCAAAGAAGCGTCGCGCCATTCTGGTTTTTTGGGAAATGCTCTTCACACACCACACACAGCGTAGATGGGAATCATCATAAATTAAAAGAGAATTTGATAGCTGAACATAAGTCATCACCAAAGCTATCTTTATCGTTTTTCTTTGGTTTGGCGAGTGGAACGCAGAACGCTTGACTTGCTTCAATAAAAAGCTGTCTGTACGAGCACTGATTACAAGAGAGGACATCATTTCACAGCAATCTGAAGTTATCCAAATAAGCAGATTTTCTCAAGACCTACCGGTTCTAGTAAAAATCTTTTTGAAGCAAAATATGTGAGCACAAGAGCAACTACTTCGTTACCCAAAGCACTTATTCTTTGAACAAAACTGCAAATCATAAGCTCGCTAAAGTGTCGCAATTATCGTCTGATCCTCACCCTACAAGAAGAAATTCTTTTGTGAGATCGTGATCTTTTGCTCAAAATAGAGCAAATTCAAAAAAAAAATGTTTTGCAGTAAGATGGAAGGAACTAAGCGAATCGCTTTCATTATAATTTTGGAACCAATTCTATACCAGTCTATCGTCTTAAAAATGAATTGAGATAACACTTTCTTCAAAAACTGACTGCTGTATACTTATAAGTTTTACGGAAATTTTGCTAAGCATTTTATGTTTCCCACAGTCTTCTTCTAATTCAATCGAATTCAATTTAATTCAATTTACTCTGTTTGGTCGATTCTACTTTTTCTGATCAGTCGAAAGAAATGTTTTCCACGTTGCCATAAATATCACGAAAATCCAGAAACCAGCTTCTTTGTATGTTCTTTAGAAAGTTCCATTTCGAGCTTGTAAAGTGCAGGCTTGTGACTTGGTGTTACCTTTAAGTGGAAAAAGTCTCAATCATAACCATGTAAGGAGTTAAACGGGGAAGGCTTTTTCCTCCCGAAAATGGGGTCGCTAAATCTTTAAAACTGGCTAACTTGAGTATTCGTATAACATCCGTATACACTATCCACAGCAACCCTTTCATCCAAGAATTTTTCTTTTTGATCAAGCTAAATAAATCCCCTGATTGGTTAACATCTTTGTAGAATTCTTCAACCAGCTGGGACTTGAAACTGTAAATCTTCTCTGTGTAACAGGTAAGGCTACAGACAAAGTAAACGGCAGAAAGCGTTAGGTTCTTAGAATATCTTGGTTTACTCATTCAACAAGACGTTCGAAAGATCAGACAACATATGTACTTGGTAATTTCTTTCCCTCTCGACAGTTCCTTTTTTCGCTGAAGAGCAACCATAGAAATTTCTTCCACTGTTTTTCCAAGCAAAAAGAACTTTCACATTCCTGCACTGGCAACTGGGATTAATTTCTTGCGCTAAGCTAATTAAGAAATTGCTCGCCGAATTGACGAATTTGACGGAAAAAATACTGTTTGATCAATTTCGAGCAAGTGTTGACTCACCACGTCTGAGAATTAGCACTCGTCTCCTGCGAACCAGTTCGTCTTGAGTTTTTTACTGAACAAAAACCTAGAATGATGAGTGTTCTAATGATATTTTACAGAAAATATTGTGTGATGGAGATGCGACCATATTGAAGTAGAACTTGAGTCATGAACAACTCGACCTTGTTGCTTTTTGACAAAATAAGCGTAGCTTTTATCAGGCTCGGCGTAGCAAGTGTAACATAGGAAAAAACTTGAGGGCTTATGACAGTCGACAACTTGATTCCCTTTTGTCTTTTCGGAAACTTGGAGGATTCTCGAATCGTACAACTCAGTCGGAAGTGTTAGAAAAACCCAGCAATAGAAAATGCTGTCCTGACGAGTTTTCCTGCTGCGCAAGTCTCTAATCTCGTGCAAGGAACAAATGCGGTATAATTATCGGAGCGAGTCAGTAAAAATGAAATCGGTTAAGACATTCAGTGCATCTGGACCGTGCAATTAAGCGCACCGTAAGTTCCAATCCCTTTATTGTGTTGAGTGTAATGGTAGTATGAACTCCAATGTAATGGAGGTTGGCAAATAAATCGAATGTGACCTAAAACTTTGAAGGTCGGCCACTTGAACCCATGTTCTGTTTTGGGTAAGGTATACACGACAAGCTCCACTTAGGCTCGCATTTGCAAACATCGGCACAGTGGACCAGCCTCGGTATTTTTTTGGCAGAAAACAATACGTAATATTTCAGGTTGATGGAAAGTTCTTCCCTAATTCAAAGAAATTCAATACGTCCCAAATTTTTAAGTTAAATTTATGGCTTCGTATTTATAAATTAGAAGAAGGCTCGCGCTTAAAAATGCTTTCCAATTGAAGCCCAACAAACCCTAATCATGGAATGTTATGAGTGAATTTTTCAAAAGCAACTTTCCTTACCATTTGGAGAACAAGCCCTATAGAAAGCAGATTTGATGTTCAGTGGACGCAAAAAGTTCTAGAGTGCTGCTAGCAGTCCAAAAAAAGCTGTGAATATTTCTTGCGTAGCAATAGTCTATGGCATTATGGCAGACTTACTTACTTAGATACTTAGATGGCCCGTCCTCACGTGACGTGCGGGCCCCAGTACAGAAGTCGCCAGTTTTCCCTGTCCCTCGCTTCAGACATCCACGATCTTCTTGGCCGTCGTCGGTGGCTGCGTCCACGAGTTCCAGGGGCGAAAGTCGTATCCAGCTGATTTCTCAGCTGGTCCTTCCGTTCCACGAACACGTCTGCCCATCTCGTCGGTGGTCTTCCTCGAGGACGTTTGGCTTCGCGAGGAAACCACTTAGATGTTCTTAGTGTCCATCTATCGTCCGTTCTTCGCATTATGTGACCGGCCCATCGGTGCGTCGCTTTCGCGTATTCCACTGGGTCATGAAGACGGGACATTCTTCTCATATCCGTGCTGCGAAGTCCGACTAGATGTTTGTGCCGGGTCATCTTCAGAAGACTGCGCTCAAGCGCTCTGTGGGTGGTCGTCAAAGCTTTCGACGTGGCCACGGTGTCGGCCCAGGTCTCAGCTGCGTAGCAGAGCGCCCTGGCAGACTATGAACACAAATTTTATGAAAGCGTCATTTTGCAGGAAAGAAATGCTTTCTCACACAGCCGAGATCAGAAATTTGACCCAGTGCTTACACTTACACTTACAGAACACTGTAAAGTTCTCTTCGTCAAACTTCTTTTTCTGCTGAGTAGTGCAGTAACAAGGAGACTTCATGCGGATTGTTGTTTTTCACATTTTCTTGTTTTTGCATTTCCATGCGAAATAAAATGTGGCAATGTAACGTATAGACTACTGCTATGTGAGAAATCTTTACAACTTTTGGGGTAGCCAGCAGTACTCTAAAATTTTTTTGGTCAAACTCAAAACCACGAAATTTGAAGTGCCATTTTACGAACCTTTGCTTTACCGGGGTAGCCTACGAAAGCTGAATTCATTTACTGTTGCAAAGCACAATACTTTCTTTTTATTTTTTGATCAAGACCATGAACAGCTCAATTTGCAAAGATACTATTTTTTTCTCAACCAAGCAAGAAATTTCGCACCAATCTGATATTAGGATATTAGGATCATATTCTGATATTAGGATCACAGCGGAGCGTCGGAAATCACCTAAAATACAAGTGCATAAGTCTTGAAGGCAACAGAGGTGGTGATGGCAGGAATTAGCTGAACCGTTTCCCAAGCGATAGCTCATATGATTTTTTCGTAACCGTGAGAAACAAATCTAAATTCTTTTCCGGTACCGAAATGCCTCCAAGTGACGTCTCCGGGAGTACGGTAAGGGCTAGAGTATGGAGTTGTTCTCTGTCACGTAAATAAATCATGCGAGCTGACGCTCATGAAGTGGCTTAGTTGGACCTTTAGATTATCTTCCATATAAAAACCAAGACATCCAGATTGTCTGAATACCTCTCGCTTTCGAGGCGAATTATACCATTAGGACACAAGCAAAGAAAATGAAGTAAGCATGCCGAAATTTCTGGACCGGGACATTTTTTTAGTTGTTCAAATTGTCCATGCTGAAATGAAGTTCAATAATATTTTATGCTTTCCAATTTGAGCCCAACAAACCATTTTCATAAAATTTTATTAGGGACTTTTTGCAGACTTTGCTGTCGATGCCACCACCGGGGAAGTGTCAGTGGCCCGGGAACTTGCTGGAGCTGCTCGTGAACAGCCGTACGAATTGGTCGTGGTCGCTGAAGATGCAGGTCAGTGAAGGGACTACAGTACACCTACCGTATGCAGTAATAGGACTATAGCGCTCTTTTCTAAAACTAATGTGCCTATAACATCCCTCCTCCCCACCTAAGTCTTTTGCTATCATCCAAAAAATTTTGTTTTTATTTTGAAGTAATCCTTGTTACACTGATTGTCGTCAAAGTAAGGAAAGAAGCAGTCGAGGCGTAAATAATTCCCACAGAGTTTTATGATCATACATTCATATTTCTTTTTCTTATGTTTGTAGAAATATTTTTTGAGAAGAAATTTTTTTGTGTAACTTCTCCATTTTCAGGAACCCCTAGCCTCAGTTCTTCTGTGCGCATAAAAGTGAAAGTTAGTGAACCTTTTATGGAAAAGGACGGAGAAAAGGGACAAGTCAATTTCATTAATCCGCCTGTGGATTACGTTCTCAAGCTGAAAGAGGTACATTTCCAAAGTTTTCCGGTATGGGATCATTAGGCAGAGAGACGCAATTTAGGACACACCGGAGAACGAGCACATCTATCAAGTGAAAGCTCGTCTAGCGGGTATGAGTGAGGAACGGATGAACATCAAGTATTCGTTAAAGGTTCGCTTTTTCTCTTAGAAAACTTGGGTGGGAGATTAATGCTGCTCATTTTGTCAAACTAGCACAATTTAGAATCCCCGCAGTGAAGCACAGCATTTTGGCATCGACGAGTCTTCTGGAGAAGTTTATGTCACAAAACCGTTAGATTACGAAGAAGTCAAGTACTATTCGGTCAGTTTTCGTTTCGCTTCACATCATGATGGGGGCAATAAATCAGGTTTATTGGCGAAATAGGTGGAACGACGTCTGTGACATCAGAAACGCTTCACCAGATGTCTTAATATTGATATAAATCAAAATCTCCACAGTTAGTGGTGGAGCAGATTATGAATCGTTCATAACCAGCAAAAAAAGAAAGGAATTGGGAAGATGAATTTCTTTGCGCGAGTGGGTTTTTATTTTTTAGAGTGGAGTTGTGCTAGAATCTGGTACTTTTGACGCGTATGTCGTTAGTATAGTGCTCCTGCGCTAATGACAACATTTGCGCGGAAACAGATGCGTCGTAGTGCTGACAACTTTCTTGTAATTCGCGCTTACTAAATGCCCATAGAGCGCACATTGTCATTGTTTACGCACAAATGTTGCCGGTAACGCAAGCGCACTATTTTGAACGACAATTTTACTAGATTCAACATAACACGTGCTGCAAATGCTGAGGTTGTGTTAATCAGAAAAAGGCGACGATGAAGTTGAGAAGAGGTCTAATCACGAAGAAATATCTAATCACGGTATATAAATGTTCCAAAATTTTCTGGGTCGAGCGCAAGGACCGAGCTAGGGTCAAATAGATTTGTGCTAGTGTGCAATTGCACAACATCTGGGTGGAGTTGGTTATGAGGTCCAGATAGTATTTTTTATAGTTTAGGCACAAGCGTTTCTAAATAAGCATAAATAATAACAGTCAAGTCGTTTGCAACCAAATGAAGCGTGCTCTGCGCACTACGCGCGCCACCTCACGACATTGTGTGTTTGCAAGGTGCCATTCTTGGAAATTTATTTCTTTTTTTCCTCTGTCTCACCATATGAGCTTCCGTAATATGAGTACTCATTTGATTAATGACTGGTGAAGTCCTGCGCGAAATTTGCAAACTTTTTAAAGTGCTCAACTGTTCATGTCATGCATTTCTGGGAATCTGCGTGCCACTGTCAATATACCGAAAAGTGTGCAACTGCACAAATTAGCAAATAAACCTAACCTACTTAATTATGTACTCTGAAGTCCTCTTGAGTACTTCGACAGCAAATACGCAATAAACCTAAATAGCGGTATGCACTTCATATCGCCGAGAGTATCATAAGTGTATCGAGACCTCATTTTATGAACCGACCTCGTAATGCTCAACCTCTCAACCTCATTTATCATTTCCAATCTGGATCGATTACAGTTTTTCCGCGTTCAGTGTAAAATTTGAGTGCGTACTCTGGCTGCGCATGGTTATAAGAACAGTGTACGTGCTGCCAGAATAAATTACTCGTTTCGACGAATTAATCGTCGCCCGTTTCGAAATTTTTCGAACAGCAGGCGGAGTGCGAAAATTGTCGCAAACTTCCTGACACCACAACCCATTCGCTCGGTCCATTCTCCCTTACGGGGGTGGATGAATTACGGTTGAACGCCCACGATGAATACGCGATTATTCTGACGCTTTCCGGGCACAGCAGCCAGCACGAGAATCTCGTGTTTGCAAAAGCTGTCTGGTTTTATATTCGCGTTCGCGTTCTTCCGCTCTTGCTTTTCGCTTCAACAGGTATACTGTTTCTCCTTTCAGTTCGTTTTTTTCTTTTTCTGTTAGTGTGTTCGTTTTCTTACGTTCACATGTGCCAGCCACTTGACATTGGGTGAGAGTTTTATTTCATTGCTGAACGTGAGTTTTGATGATTCGCTGTATCCGTTGCGCCGCCGAATCTCTTTGTTAATTTTCTAGAAAACTGTGTAGTACAGTCGTACAATCTAAATAATCGAAGTTTACTTTGGTATTTTGATACCAGAAAATCCAAAGCCCGCGAAACTTCGAATATTTTGTTATAGGAGTTATCGTACGTTCAGAAGAATACGTCGCGACAGAGATACAAAAGCATCTAACAAATTTCGAGTTTCTATTGGAGATACATCCGAATATTGACTGTACAAAATTATTTTGCGTTAAATCTATTATGCACATATTATTAAGTAATGCCATTTAAATTATATAAGTTGTTTGAAAACTCCTATAGAAATAAGCAAACAAATTTGATATACGGGAAGCTCATGGTTTTTCAGATATTTTGGATCATTACACTATCAGCAGTGTGGTGTACTTAATTCTACAAATATTTTCTTTACTTTACTTCAAATATTACTGAAAAACGACATCCCGACACTTATGTCACAACAAATTCGTCGCGACGGAAAAAGCCGCATAAATTTTTCTTCCCTGAAGCTTAGTTGTGAAATCAAGCCTTTATTAAAGCTTTGAATGAAAAATATATTTATGACCATGGGATGTGCCATTTGCGCGAGATTTCCATGATTCGCAGGTTCTGCGTGATTCGCGGGGCAGAATCTGACCATCAGTTCTTATAAAAATGTTTCACCGCAAAAGTGGACACATTTCATTGTAATAACTGTACTTCAGCATTCCAAAGCTGAAAAACGCTGTTGAAGGACTTGCCATTTCCCCGTTCAGAAGTGGCCTTAGCACCTTGTCTGCCGCTTGTTTCCTCTTCCTGTTGCGCGCTTTCTTGCACCGTCTTCTGCTAATTGTCGTCGTCGTTCGATGGAGACGGGGGCTCCTCGCCTTGACTCGCTCAAGTGCTCGTCCACTTCAGAGTTCTGCTGCTGCTGTCGTCACTAGCGGTGTCGCTCCTGTTCGACTAGGCGAACTACCGCCTTTCCACAGTCGTCGTCGCTTCGCTGAGTAATCCTCTGTCCTCTGCTGTCGCTGACTAGGAGAAGTCATGCTTTGTGCCCCCTTTCTCCTTCGTTTGCAATAAATTCGCTAACTTCTCTATGCTTTCTGCGTTGTTAGTTCAATTTTGCAAAAATAGCAGCGAAGCGCACTTAATAATTTTTTCGTTGCTATTGAAAACAATGATAAGTCCTTCTCATCCCATCGACTATGAGGATGTTTCGTATAGCACTTTTCAAAATATTTTGAGATTCGTCTTTTTTCAAGACCCTATTGAATGTGTGACTTAATTCAGTAAATCACTACATTTTACCTCTAGACTCATACCACTAACGGTTAAGTGTCCCGCATAGTGGCAAGAATCATTCAAGTTCGATGCCAAACGAGGCTTTGTAAATTTTTCGTTCCTGTTTGGGTCCAACTTATTCCGCGTCCAAATAAATTCTGAAGCCAGATTCATCCAAAAGTTCGATTCTAATCCTCGCTACGGCCTCCACTCTGTACACTAAAGCTCATACTTCAGTGTGATGAATTATGAATCAAAAAAGTGAAAAATCAATTTTTATCATTTCTATGTTCAAAAATGTTCATTATTTTGAAATAACTATCCATAGTGGGTTTATTTCGGCTAAATGCTGTCTTTTTTTGCAATTATCTTCATGATTTTGCAGAATATTGGCCCTTTGCTCAATAAATCATGAGTATTTATATTTGAAACGGGTGCGTAACGAAAAAATTTTGACAGGACTGAAGGCTCAAGGCAATTCTAACAGTAAGAGTTCTGCAGAAATTGTGCAGAAACTTGTCATCGTTGCAAATTGTTCAGGATCAAAGTCTGTTTGCGTTTCGACAGGTGGTTCATCAGAAACTTTTCTAATTGTTCGGCTTTACAAAACCTCAATGGCGCAGTTTGTTCGCTCGCTGCACTGAAAAAATTCTGGTATCAAGTGCTAGCTATATTTTCTTATCGATGAGGAGCAGTGTAAATGTTTGTCTGAGTTCTCGACTGCCGTTCGCAACCGTTCACTGTCAGCTGTCACACTTTGCTCTAATCAACTGTATTTTTGAACTGTCTGGCCCAAAATTTCTCTGTGATGCGAATGATTTGGGCGTATTTTCCGCGAACGTCACATAGCATACGACATGAGGGCGTCAGCGATGACGAACAAATTCTGCTTTTTATACGGTAGAGGGGGCGGAGGAAGCGCGGAAGGGGGCGGAAGCAAAGGATGACCAGCTGATACGGCGCGCTCCGCTTCCGAAGCGGGTTCCTGGCTCGGTTATGGCTGTCATAAGTTATTTCTGTCTCGAGGAATATGCAGCTCAGTCTAGTTTTCCTCCCTCACAAAACAGGAAATCAAGCGAAATTTCTTTTTTGCTACCATTGCCTTACAATAGCTTTGTGCTTTGTAAACCAGCACTTCTGCTTTTTCGCAGAATTTTTTATGCTCTCCAGAATGAGGACCAGTTTGTTCGTCTCACAATAACCGAATCCATATTCGATGCTTTTCGTTAGGCTTCGCAAGCGCTCATTTTGGAACGCTATTGAAATGGATCCTCTTTTTCTGAACATCGTTCGCTTCGTACAATTCGATGTCATGCAATGAACTTTGGGTTTAACGAGGATGACCGTTACGTATATGGGGCAGCTTCGTATACTTTTTGTCACAAACCGCATAAGGAATGGGTTCTTGTGAGATTAGCATGCCAGGTTACTTCGTTACGCTTGATGTTCTTTAGCTATGCTAGAACTTGTGTGGGAGGTAGCATTGCATCTCTTGTTTATTACGGTCGCGTGGGAATTCAGGCTAAAGTGTGCAATTGCAGATTTTCCAGGAAAAGGGTTGACCATAATGTGTAGATATAGTTTTTCTGTGTTTCTTGGATCTCTTCGTTGTTTAGCCGTAATTGTGTTTATGAAGCTGATTATACTGCAAACGCTTTTTACCTGAGAAACTTGCATCCTACCGCCACCATCTAAAATGTGCATTTGCACAAATAAGCAAAGAAACGTACTCGACTATATACTATACTATATGAGATGCAAAGACCGCAAATCAGTTTTTTTTTTCAAGATACATGCAATGTAGATTCACCACGTTTTTTATAATATTCATTTCTGTTGTACTTTTATCACGCTTTCAGTACCAAGGTGCAAGAAAAGTAACTAATTTAAGGCTTTATATGGCAACGAAGGCGAATCACATCATTCTACTATGTGATCGTGGGGTGAAAGGCTATGAAAAAAAGTGAAACTAAATTTCTGATTAACTTTCAAGTACTGTTTGAGTATTGCGATACTGCCTTCTCCATCTTTATGAGCGCAGACTAGTTGAGTTTATTACATTCACCTCTGCAAATTCAATTTCTTTAAAAGCGCATTCAGTCCACTCCTTCATCAGTCTTGACTATTTAGACCTTAACGATACTGCCCCAAAATAGAACTGCTTTCTTGAAAGAGTACGTTAAATGTCATCTTGTACTAGAATTATGGATGAAATTCTTCTGGAGATTAGCAGGCTTGGCAATACCTTAGTGACTGTTATGGTGGGTCAGTGTCGATTGGGAAACGTCCTAAGCAGGACATATATTACACCATAAGATGATACTATGACGTTCCAAAAATAAATATTGCTTATTAATCTCTACCCTTCCAAAATACAAAGTTCACTCTCATGGACAAAGGTCTAGAGAGGAAGGAAGGGATTTGCTTTGCTATTTTTCAAACACCTCTTTAAATTGTGCAACTTGTGGCAAAAAAGTATGAGAAAGGCAAATTTTGTAATCATAGCTGCGTTTGGCTTACACATAGCGAAAACTCCATAAAGGTGTTTTTCCACGCATGGAACACCAAGCAATGAGGTAGGCGTTCGGTAGATAGGGAAAGCTCAAAAAGAAATAAAGGTTAGTCGACAATGGAAGGTGCTATTTATGCATAAAAAATACTATATTATAAATTGTGTCCTTTTTTGAGATTACAGACGGTTACCAAGTCAGTGCTTTGGTATTCACAACTTATTCTGGCATCAGTCAACCTTCCGCTTCTTTAATTTCTAGCTATGTCATTCCCTTTGTCTCCCTTTCTTGTGCTTTACTTTTGGAGCTTTGAACTCGCTAGTTTCTACCTGCTTCAAAAATAGTATCAGTAAAAAGTGCAGCCATAATTTTGCCTTGCTGAACGTTTCTTTTTGAAAGTTATAAGAAGTTCATATTCGATTGAATGTTTTTTACAATGTCACGCCCAAAATAGCGCAAATGTTACTCAAAACTTTTACTGTAGCATGTCGACAGCTGGGGGATTAAGCTACTGTTTGATGGATCATGGCAAGCTCTCATGGTCCTCGGGCACTCACACAAACTGTGCCGCATAAAGTCAGAATTTGAAGCACTTATTTACCCTATATTATTTTGTCGCATTCCGAAAAGATAACACCTGCAACAAATTTCCTGCGCAGAAAGGAGAAGTAAAAATAATTGCAAACACAAATGCAATAATCGCAAACACAAATGCTTTTTTCCAGATTTTTACGCTAAGTCCAATATTTTCGGTAAGAGCTTTTAAAATTCTACATATTCAAGATTGAACTACCACAGGTCTCTGTGATAGTACTGCTACATATGGGCGTTCGATTGTGTTTGTCATTTTGCATCTTTTTTCCTTGACGCCCCCACAAAATACAGCAATTGAATTTGGGAATGTTTGATGTGCTAAAGTGTATTTTGGTAAGCATTGAGAGGTCCGTAAAAATGTTTAACAAAGTTTTTTGCCACTTTGACGAGAGCCGATTTTTCATATAACCCTTGTACTATTTGATATTGTCCTCAATTGCGTACGTCACTATCTACGCCAGTGCCTAATA